CAAGGGGGCCCAGCTCAGGTGCTGACACAGCTGTAGGTAGAGATGACCCTCAGCCCTTGAACCAGACTATTCCACTAGTAAGTGGGGTTTTGTTAGCTGAGCACCCACAGCAAGTAGGGAGGGAGCATCCAGCTTTACATGGCCTTTTCTCAACTATTACAAAAAATGTGGGAAGCTAATCCTTAAGTCCTTCCTGGACATGATTTTTTGGACATTCCCTTTTAAAAATCAAACAGATGCACTGCTTTAGCAGGACTGCCAGCATGCCTGCACCCTGCTGAGGATGGGAGGAAAGAGGCTGGTCTCCAAAATGCCAGCAGTGCTTCCTCTTGCTGCTGCTGGTCACAGACAGGGAGGTCAATCCAAGCTGTTGGCTCCCAGGATAACAACAGGGCTGTGAAGAAACCATCACTCATTTTTCTCACTGTACTCAGCCACTGCCTCAATAGCAAAGTTGGTATCACCCACCAAAATAGTCTAAAAAAGGCCTCCCAGCCTCAGTTTAAAAGTATTTTGGCTCCTTTCTGTCACAACTGGAAGGTGATGACTGCAGCTCTAATGGCTCAAAACACCCAGCAGCTATGTGCATCCTCGACATCCTACCACACTCTGGCATCAAACACACTTCCAGGCTTACCAGCACTTACTGGCACCAAAAAAAAAAAAAGCCTCCCCCAGGCCTGGCCACAACCCCTTGGCTGTGATCTTTGCACAACAGCTTCCAGCTTCAACCAAAAGGCAACCAAGGCACTGGGACAACAAACCAGCACAGCTGCACTCCTGGCAATGCATTTTGTGCTGTTTATGGCAGACTTTCAGGCTTGGCTAGGTTTTTTTTCCTCCTACCAAGACATTTATCTCTGAGCTAAATGAAAATGGTGTTTTAACTGCTGCTCTCCCACTGTAGGCTAGCGGTGCCATGGAGATTTAGTTGCTGGCTGGTACAGGGTGAAACATTCCGGTGTACAACAGCAGCTGCATCCCAGGGAAGCAGCTGCAGAACTGAAACAGAGCCAGAGGTCCACAGGAGGAGACGGAGACAACTTACCTGCTCCAAGGCAGCAGCAACATGCAAAAAAGCAGAGGTATCTTGATGCAGATACCATTGATGTTTAATAAAAGCATCCTCCCTATGCTCTTGTTGCTGAAAACACAGCCAGGACTGCAGCAGGCAGGCCTGAGCCAGCGCAACAGTCAGAGACTTGCTGAGGGAAGGAAGCAAGTTGCAGCTTTATTTTTTTCTAAATATTAAAACAAAAAGTTAATTTTACTTCTCTGACAACAATGTCTTAAGCTTACAGTTAAGTCCCTCCTGGCCTTGAGCTAAACCACATGGAAAAAAACAAAACAAAACAAAACCCAACTGTTCCCTACATCTATTCATTTAAAATTTTGCCTTTGCAGGTTTTCCTTCCTTGTGCTGAAGCTGAGGGCTGCACAAGGCTCCAGGATCATTGCCCACCCAGGCTCTGTCATCCACCCCTTGCCCATAGTGAGGAGCCAAAGCCAAGGGATGGAGCTGGGCTAGCTCAGCTGGGTAGCTAAGAGGGGGCAACAGGGGCATCTAGCTCCCCATGGCCTCACCAGCACCTCTCCTCATACACGAGATGTTTCCTCCACTGCATGAACATCCAAGCCTGCACCCTTTCTCCTCAAAGCAGGCAGGCAAGGAGCAACAAGCTGCTGCTGAACTGTTCAGATGTTAGCAGTGTGGTTGCTGGCCCACAGGAGGTAGGATTTTTTTTGCCAGTGCTTGGCTGAACCCCCTCACACACAGGCCGTGGGCTGGAGATGCTGCAGGGATTATTTGAGAGGGGAAAAAAAAAAAAAGAAAGTGGATTTGTAGGTGGGGCAAGACTCAGCTGGGGCTGCAAAACCAGGAGACAGAGCAGGCATTGAGGGGGAGGGAAGGTAAAAGCCAAGGACTGTGGGAATATGTGCCCAGTGCAGCAGCTGTTTCTTCCAGCCCCAAGACATCACTCCCTTAACCACAAAAAATACGAAACTAAGAAGGGAGCCAGTTTTTTTTCCCCTCTCTGTAAGCAATCAGCCTTCTTCCCCCTGCTAGCAGCCAGTTCATGGTGGGTGCAGCAGCAGCCTCCTGGCCCCATGCAAGGTTGAGATGCAAACCAGCAGAGGAGAGGTTTCTACCCAGCTGCTTAACACGCCCTGTGAGGCTCAGGGGGGAAAAGCTATTTGGATCCTTCCCAGCCCCACAGCCCTTCCAGCCACAGAAAGTATCTTCCCAGGAATGCAAGATACAAGCCTGATAAGCACATGTTATAAAACAAGATGCAGATAGGTTTAAAAGCTGTCCTTCAGTTCAGGCTGTGCTTAAGCAGTACCAGGGTAATTTGTTATGATGGGGGATTTTTATCAGTTTAGTAACTCCAAAGCTTTAGTCTTACCACAGTATGAAGCCTTGCCTTCTCAAATCACTTTAGCTTTTCAGCCCCAGAAAACAGCTGCTTGAAATGAAGAGGGAACAGAAAAGGAGGAATCGGGTTACAAGGAAATACAGTGACTTCACTTCCAATTCAGAGTTGCCTCACGGACTGTTGACAAGTGCATTTACCAGCCACAGGCCTCCTACTTAATAGCACACAGGAATTTCCAACACAAGGAGCTGGATCCTGACTTTCCACCACCCTGCCTCCATTGCAGGCAGCTACCACAGCAGTGTGGCCAAGACTGCTGCTTGCCACCACCATGGTCCTTCCCTGCCATCAAGTGTGGTTTAACCTCTCCTCCCCAGTGTCAGGCAGGCCTGACACCGCAGAGCAGCAAGACTTGCCCTTGTCCCTGAGAAACTGAAGGCAGCAATACATTTTTGGGAAGCACGGTGCAGCCAACAGCAAAACTGCTTCTCTTGCAGCCTGATGGAGAGATGAACAGAACAAAATCCTGCATCTCAAGAGCCTCTGAACTGACACTTTCTTACAACAGGCTGACAGGAGACTTGACACTTCCCATCAGAGGCTCTGCATGCAGAAAAAACACACTAGACTAATACGAGTATGTAACCCACTAGTTAAGCATGTTTTCACACACCAATTAAGTATCCCAATTAGTCTGGAGTACAGACAGGATGGCACACAATTTGCCATAAGCCATTCAACCCAAGAGCAAAGCTGTGCTCATCCCGCTTTTAAGCACCTGCTTTTCAAAGCAGCACCTCATCATTTGTATGCAGCTGCCACACAGCAATTTGCTTCAGGTTTGTTCCCAGTCTCAGCATAACCAAACAGCCAGGCAGGGGGAAAAGCTGCACTCCTGGATTCCAGCTCCACTCAAACACTTTGATTCACTGGAAGTGGTAGCTGGCAGTATTAGGGGCTGCAGAGCCAGATGAGGGGCTGCATGGCCATGCAAGCACTGCCCTGCCCATACTACTTCCCCCAGTGAGAAGTATTAGTCTCAAACTAAGCAAGTGCTTACTCTGCCCTTCCTTTAAGGCTCTCAGTTTTTAACAAAAATGCAACAGGAAAGGCAAGATGACATCCTCACCTGGCCCCATTAAACAAATCCTCTACAAGGAAAGCAAGAGTTGACTCACCGTGGTTTTATTTAGACTTTGGACCTGCCTCTCTGCCTTTCAGCCCCATTGGGTGAAGTCAGAGCAGCATTAATTTACATTGCTCAGATTACACCAGAGTTGTACCTCAGCCACAAGTGCAGCTGGTCCAAGACGGTTTCTTGGGAAAGCTGAAAGAAAGGTATGTAAATGAAGTTCCCACAGAACTAAAATAAGGTGTTTAAGCCAGACAGGAACCTCCAAGATAACTAGAGCACACTCTGCTCCCACCTCTACAGGCAGTATCTCACTCCTCCCAGCCGACTGCTACATCTATCTCACCCCTGCAGAAACCTACCTCCACCTCAGCCCTGCAGCACTAGGGGCCAACAAGTGACACAAAACAGGAAAGATGCCAGAACTTGGAAGTGGAAGCCTGAGGCCTCACAGATTAACAGTTGGCAAGGGGGTCATGCCCTCCTCTTTCAGGCACTTTAACCTCCTACACCTCTGCCAACACTGCAGGAGGAAATAAGTTAACAATTTGCAATCCAAGGCACCGTCCCTGCTGAGGCAGACACAATTGTGTTGTCAGCAGCAACACCAAGCCCCTCAGCCCTAGTTGGGGCTCTGTGAAGGCGTTTGTGTCCTTTTACTCAATCCAGACTGCCACGAGGTCAGGCAGGTAGAAAGCACAAGGAACCCGTTACTGTTACATCTCAGCAAGAACCAGAGAAGCAACGGCTGTTTGCCCAAGGTCTGTCAAATGGATGCATTTCCTAACAAGGAACACAGCAGAACAGCAAGTTACAAATACTCAGCTAAGTCTCAAGCTCAGACACACACCTGCTTCATAATAAGCCTAGGACAGGGCTAGGCTGTTCCAACATTTCTCTCCCCAAGTACAGAAAAATCCCAAATCCTGCAACTTGATTCCTGAATAGCTGTAAAATACAAAAGGAGCTAGTACCACAGCCAGGCTGTGCTGGAAAAGCTAGAAGTTTCACCCTCTCCCTGCGATGTTCCCAGTACCTGGGCTCGGACAGAGTGCTGGTTGTTGACTCCTGCTCCATCCATCCTCCTACCTTGATGTTGAAGTCATACTACAGCTGAGGACAGACTCAGGTATCCTTGGCTGACCAAGAAGTTCAGCCAGCACTAAGCTTGAGTAGCACATATTCCATTCTGGGTTTTGTGGATTTTTGGTTCTCTCTTCCAGAGATAAGTCTCTGTGCAATCCTCAAAGATGAAGGTGGTCCACTCCATTATGATGATGTTTCTTGGGCTTTGCCTTATTCCCTCAGCCTGCTCTTGTATGCCAAATGCCACAGGCAGAAACTGCATGAAGTCTGTCTGGAGACACTCGAGTTGTAGTGCGCTAGGACCAGGCTATACCACTGACAGCACCAAATCCTTGGACAAACACCTTGCTGCAACCTCTCCTGCAAGTCACCCGAAGAAACACACTAGACCAAAAGGCATCACCTAGGATGGGTTTAAATGAGTTTTATTTTAGACAACCTACATGACAGATGCTTGGGGTTTTTTTTCTTTTTTTTTTAAACAATGCCTCCACTCCAAATCAGGGTCAAAATAAGTGAATGAAACTCAAGATGACATCAGTCCCGTTGTTAGACATTGCCAATTCCTGGTGTTGTGCCAATGAAGAAGAAACAGCAGCCAGCTATGAAGACAAGTGATCCAAAACCATACTGTTTGATTTGTTACTGAAACGAAAGTAGCAAGTGTTAGTTCAAGGTCATGACAGTCTCAGTAAGTTTCTGTAACTTATCTGTGTATTCCCTAATTCAATCTGAGCTGCCATAGTCAGGCAGGCAGAAAGCGCAAGGAAGTTATTTTTGCATCTTAGTGCAAACCAGAGAGCAACAGGAAAAGTGCTCACGGTCTATCAAAGGATGCTGATCATTTTTATAATCCTACAGAGCAACTGGCATCAGCCGCTGAGCATGCCAGACAGGATACTCATTGACACCCTTTTTGCTTGACACACCAAGTTTCAGATTTCCTCTCAAGTAAGAGCACAGCCTAAACAAGTACTAAAGCTTACAACATATGTGCTATCTTACAAGATCTGTACCCAGAAGCCAGAACAGCTTTTGCCCACTGGAACACCCTACTTCTACTCTTTTACCAAGCTACACATCCAGAAGGCCTACCCAAGCAAGGGAGATGCACACAAGCTTCTGCTCTGAGAAGGTACCTTCCAGGTGACCGCCTGTTCTAGGGCCCAGGACAGACATCACCCTTCAGTCAAGCTGCAGGAAGCAGTGTGTCTGTTTTGGCTACTACAAGTGTTCTTTTAGCGAGGCTCCTGCTTCACATTAGAAGTTGGTTCATCTTTACATGACTTGCATACCAGAAAGCCTGAAAGAGGCTTTACAGATAAATTTAGCTGGCTATAAACAGACTTCATAAGTCCACAATGACTGTGCAAAGCAACTGGTGATCCCACTCTGCTTGTCTGCAGTGAGTTCCACAGCTCTCCAAATAAGCCAAAAAATGCAAGTGTTGGGATCCAAATACTGTTTTTTTGCAACCACATTCTAACACAAGGTACTTAAAGCAGACCACAGGAGCTGTCTGAGCTCAAGCTACTGGGGATTCTAGATAGAATAAGGTTAAGTACTCCATCAAGTATTACCATGTTCCCAAATTTAGGGCAATATTTAAACAGATGGTTATTGGATAACAAAATAAGGGCATCAGATTAAGCAAAAGAAGATGGAACATGACCATGTAAGATACTTCAGAATTAACCTCCACAAGAGGGCTCTAAAGTAGAGTGCTCCATTTCAGGGCACTATTGTCAACTTTAATAGTTTAAAACCATTACCAATTACACACATCTCACCAAGGCAATTCTTTCTGCATTTCTTGGCCATTAAGTCACCACGAATCATTGCAGTGAAACTATGTTCTCTTTTAGTATAACTTAATAGAATACAAGAGAAGTTTCAGCCACTTCGTGTAACACAAAGCAGCAATTAGGCTGTACTTGCATGAGCTTTCAGTTTTTGAACTGGCAGGGGATAACTTGAACAGGGATACGACAGAACAAGTGATGCATTGAAAGAGCTAATCATGTAGTGAGGCACATTCATCCAGTTCAAGCCAGTACTTACACATTTCTCAATTTCTAAGCCATCCTTAAAGAAAATCATATATGGCGTCACACCATCCTCACGGAAATCCAGGAGAGCCACCATACCGTCTGGATTCATGTTCTCTCCTACAAAGAACTTCACAGAAATGCGTTACTGAGACATTTAATGACCTATTTCCAGGAGAAATTTCCTTTTTATACAAGCAAGCTATAACATCTCCAAGTTCAGTTTAAAAGTCTCCCTGACCAGCTGCACAGATTTTGCCTTCTGCAGCTTGTCCATTTTAGTATCACATAACTTTACCACTGCTATGAACAGCTGAGTAAGACACAGCAGTGGCCAAAGTGATCCACCTTTCATGTCTTTAACTCTGCAGTTCCTAAATGGTGATAACTACAAATATAGTTATCTACAAGCACTGCAAGCTGAAGTGAGATCCCCAAACACCCAAGAGTCTTTTTCTGTTTCTCCTCTGTGACTCTCCAAGCCCCTAATACTCTCAGAGAAGAGCAAGTTAGATGTCCTCACAACAGGAGCCCTCAAAACTCTCAACAAGCTAGGTCAGCAGATGAACCAATCGCTACATGTATCACTGCAACACTACTGTAAGGAGACATAAGTTTCATTACCTGGTAGTTTTTGAAGTTTGCAAGGATGTGTTTGATTTGTTCTGCAGCCCCTGTCATGAAAGGCTTTACTCTCTCTGGCTTGTGTTCCTCAAGTCTGGCTTTGATTCTGGAAGAAAAAAAAAGCTCTGAAAACACATTCTAGCTTAATAAGTTCACAGTGCAGCATCACATCATAACAGAAAGAGTTACTAGTAGTCAAACTGTTTGGTTTTGCTGCCTTTCTCCCTCTCCAAGCCCCCAGATTTTAACTTGATTTTGCTAGTGAATTAGCAGAACAGTGCCTGCCACTCATACCAAGCTCATTTTACTTCTAAGCTAGTGGTAAACAAAAATTAGCAAGCCATTTCCACAGCACCAGGAGTACTATCCATCAGTATTAACAAAGCGTTTTCAACTTTAATACTAAACCATTGAATTGTGAGCAACAGAAGTTATACCTTGAATTAGCAAAAAGTCCCATTCACACATTGTTTTTGGACATTTGAGTTGTCAAGCTAGAAAAGCTTCATGAAGCTTTTCTTCACCACCCCACACACTTCCACATGAACATTTGGCATCCAAAAGAAAACAGCAAGGCTACAAATAACATCCAAAGCACACAATCAGGTCCTCTGCCTCAGCCAAGATAAACTTAGATATCCCAATATCAATTCTTTAGAGCGCTGGTTTTGCCAAGTATTAGGACATTACTGAAGTTCACTGACAGTTTAGCACCTGTATCTGAACTAACACCTACTAGGAATAAAGTTCAACACTGTTTTTAAAATCTCAGTGACCTAAAAATTTTGCAATCCCATTTAAAGAAAAAGCCTACCAATACTTACGCTTTCATGTAGTCCTTGATGTACTTCTTGTAGGATTCTTTTGTAAAGCTGGTTTCCTGAAGGTGGTGGTTTATTACTATATCAACACCAGTGATGACCGTGGCTTCTGTTCCATCTCCCTCAGGACCTTCAGCAGAGGCATTGCCACCAATTAGAGAGTCATCAATTTGACCCTCTGTCCTGGTGACCATCTAGATTTAGAGACATCAAAAAACTTAACGGCTCTGCAAAAATCTTAACACTACCGCTCTTACACATCTATGACCTGACAGCAGGGCATGACTTCAGAGCCACAGTTAAGTGCAAGGAACCTGACTGCAGCCAAATTCTTAAAATATTTCTTAAACCAGGCTCCTCTCCTGGTGCCTGACCAAAGCTTCATCACACTGCCAGCACTGCACTCCAGCTTGGCTGCCCCAGCCCCTC